TATCAGCGCTAGAAACCAAGACTCCTGATCTTTAAGCACTTCTGTGTGCTTTTCATTACAATGGCTTCCTGCTCAGATAACAACCTGTTGGTCCAATGGCCATTATTATTTCCAGAACGTTAAGTGCATAAAAGGACTCCTTAATGATCACTCACTACCAACACAACTAAAATAATATTGTAAAAGCAGAGCATCATGACTGATTTTTACCTTCCAAGAATTTAGGAATAAAGTAAAGGTAATGAGGTTTCTTATATCTTCTGACACATACTAAATTTAGCTTAATTTCCATGTCCTTTTCTGATAATGTTGTGTAAGAGGTATTAGAATCATTGTAGTAAACAAAATATACTAATTTATTTTCAAGTGTGTTACTTGAAATTAAGTGTATTATTCATGTATTATTTATATTATGCTATGCAACCTTGAAGTCATCTAATTTTTCTTCTGTATAAAAATGGCTTTTAAGTAAGTCATGGTAATGAATTTTCTGATACACTAATATTTGTTAATCGTTCTTTTGTTTGATTTTAGTTTATATGCTTTAGGGAGGTGTTCAATGGACTGGTTAAGTGAAGAGCATTTACAACAAACCATTTGTCTTCATGGGAAAAATAGATATGTATTCAATATCAAAGGACATGCAGATTTTCTCCTTGGCTTGTCACCTCATCTGCAAATGCACTGTGGTTATAAGTGCAAGTTAAATATGTGTATATTTAGGATTAAATTACCATTTTATTAATACCTTCCTTATGAGAATTAATAAAAATCAGAGAGAGATAGAAATGAACATCCTGGTAAAGCTGTAAAGGAATTCATTACTTATTCTATAAAGAATTTTGAAAGTGCATGTATCAGTTAAATACTAATTTTTAAAAACAGCTTAAAATTGTGGACCTTAGGTCAATCTTAATTAGATTAAGTCATTGCAGCAGGTGGCCCCTCAGTGAAAGATAGCTTCCTAAGGTTAATACTTAAGACCTCTGGCATGCCTCTTTATCCTTTTATTCTTGCGTTTGCTCATACAGCTTTTAGTGTGTGCCTATAATCTCTCGGATGCACTGTGATAGACAGAATGTGTTCTCACATTTGAATGTGTAAACTCATGAGAATATAGTTTTTTTTGCATTTTGCGTTTGTTTTCTGTTTTTGTTATGTGGGATCCCATTGCCTAAATCAGTGCCTGGGACATAATTGCCCAATAAACATTTATTAGATGAAATATACTGTATTAAACCCTGAAGTCCTTTGACTGTCTGGTCTTTTTTAAAAATAGAATCTTTATTATATTTTTATTACCATTACCAGCTACTCCCCAGCACTCACCACACTGTTGTCCTATCTGGTCTTAAGGTGATTTTCACAACTAAAGATGATGGACAAGAATCAAATGTTAGTTCAAGTTCCTGAGTGTCGTCTTTACAAAATACCAGTTTAACACACCAAATATACCTGTTAAAATGAATTTCTGAATGTCATTTAAGCATGCTCATCTAATGTTTAGAAAACAGTTTCCTTGGAATAGAGACTTTCAAATGACTTATCCTTGTTTGTTTGGTTTTTTTAAAATTACTATAGCGAAAACCAGGTCCTTAACATTCTTTGAATTTTAGGACAATATTTTGAGAATATCTTCCTGTTCCCATATAAGATGAGATCATTGAGGTTAAGGAATTTGTTTATGATAACACAGCTAGCAGGTAGCAGAATCAGGATTGTCTACAAGCCTTCACTCTGCCCTGCCTCATGTATGCAAGAAATAAAGCACAAATGTTATAGACATGTTATAGTGAAATGATAAGTCTTTAAGGACCAAGTGTGAATTTTTTTTTAACTTAGCTGTATTTTTAAATTAATTGGAGATCTATAGGTTCTCTGGCATTGTGACTGGCAGCTGGAAGAGATTTAATGATATGTTTTCTTCACACATTTGAGACAGAATTGAAGGGCTCTGTTAGGGTAATGGTGGGATCTGATTAGCTTTAACAGGATTAATCCGACAGGTGGGCCCTGGGTAGAACAGGGCGAACACAGGAGGCTACTGCCGTCCTGTAGAGAAGACGTGACTGCTGGACCAGGGGGCAGGTCTGGCCTAACCCTCGGGATTCTCTGCTAGTGCTTCCTGGGAGTGGTCACAAGTGCTTGAATTTAGAATGGATTCTGAACATAGTTAACAGTATTTTCTCAACTATTGGCTCTATGGAAAGGGAGGAAGGGAAGAAAGAAGAGACAAGAAGGATTTCAAGGTTTGGGCCTAAATAACGGGAAAAATTAAGTTGCTGTTTCTGGGATTGAAAGGCTGGGGGGAGGAAGGTGCATAACAAAAGTTTATTTTGACCATTTTAGTTTCACACTTCCAAGTAGAGTCTATTAATGAATACTGTTAGATTACCAAATGGAGGTGGATATATACAGACCAGTATACAAGTCTAAAGGTCCGGGATGGAGACACAAACGTAGGAATCATCAATGTGGAAATGACAGTTAAAGTGATGATGGGATGGGTGGGAACACTTGGGAAGGCTGAATGTAAAGACGGGGCTGAAGCGTACGCAGCCCTGCGCTACTCCAGGATTTAGAGAGAGGGTAACGAAGGGGGACAGCTGAGGGTCCTGAGGGAGGGGAGCCCGCAAAGTAGGAGAATCTAGAGTGACACCTTAGAAGTCAAAGGAAGGAAATAGTACAAAAAAAGGAGAGAGTGATCACATGCAGCAGTTTTACCAGATCAAGTCAAGACGGAGGCATGACCACGGAATTTGAAATGTGGAAGTCTATTGATGCCTTTGACCAGAGAAGATTCTATTGAAAGTTTTGAAACCACTCACCTAGAAAATATCTGAAGTTCTCGCTTCTCCAAATTTGTGATTCTAATACAGGCAAACTGCCTTCTAGTCATTATATAAATCTCGTTGTAATACCAAGTATTGTTATGTTCAGATATTTCAGTCATACGAACGTTGATTTTAATTACTTAAATGATCACTGTGTAATTAAGTGATTGCCAGAAAAAGCTTTTATAAAATGTTTCACTTGATTTCCTTCTTGTCTTTTGATGTTATTAATAGAAAAGGCATGAACCTTGGACACCGTTAGACTCAGGTTTCATCCTAATTCCACCAACTGCTAGTTGTGTAGTCTTAAGCAAATTAATTTTTCTAAATCCCATTTTCCTCATTTGGAAGATGATATGATAATAACTATTATATATGGTTGTTAAGAACAACAGTGGGGTATCATTTGTGAAACATCCAGTCAAATGTCCAATAATTAAGGTAGTAGATTGAATAAGAGCTCAGGATTTGAAGTCAAAGAGACCTAATTTCAAATCCCAGCATTCACATGTGCTAATGTGAAAACTTGGACAAGTTCCTTCAGATACCTTATCTATAAAGTGTCTGTAATAAAAATGCCTACCTTGTAGGATTATTAGAATTAAATGAGATATTGCATGTAAAACTTACAAGTGTCTTCCACAAAATGAGTGTTCGATAAATAGTATTATTAGTACTTGGTATGGTTCTATTTGCTATTATCCTTGCTGTTACAATTATTAAAATAAAACCTTCATTTCTTAGTTTGGAAGGTCTTAGTTTACAACCAAACTTGAATTGATATCAAGCATAGCTTATAGTGTTGGTGTTAGTTTTGCTACATTGTATTCTTTACTAATGTTAAATGCCTTAAATGATTAGCTACCGGCTAGGTTATGATTTTCAAAGCTGTACTTGTCTCCGTATAGGGACATTTAAATGGATAGAGTCAGAAGAAAACATGTGGCAAGATTCCTCAGAATTATAATGTGAATGGACCAGAAACAGCTATTTTTTATCTAGCTTGCTTGAAGCTGTGCTTAAAGACTACATCTAAATACACCTTTGGGGGAGGCAGCTGCACTGTGAAATTACTGAGAAATTTGAGATGGAAACAAAGACAGTTTAGAGTATAAACAACAGCTTTACATGAAAGTATCGAGATAGAATTAATGACAAAACAAGACTATATACTTAGAAGAAGTACTAGGAATCAGCTAATCTTCCTAATTTTATAAATGAGGGGATATTGGATATCTGAGACATTTGGTGATGTACTTAGGGTTAAGGCCAAGAAGGAATAATTTTCCAACTCTTAGTTAAATACCCTCTCCAGTAAAGCATGTGTGGGATCATCCCTATGTATCGCCAATAATAAAAACAGGAAGATTCAGAGAAGACCAAAGTGGTTCTTCCCTTCTCACTGATACAGTTATTCTTCATTCTTCATATGTAAAATTGAGGATATTAATCTTATATCATAGTGGTTATTTTTTTCTACAGAATTGTTTTTCATGAACAGAAAACATGGAAAAGGACTTGTATTTAAAGCAATTGCAAAGCAACTTATTTTCATGAGAAAGTAACAGCCGAAATACTGTGGAAGTTGGGTTTTTAGAAGCAAAACATCCTAGATGGAGATTTATGTCAGATTTTCCATAATATGGCATCAACTAATATAGTTCTTATTAGATATGGAAACCTTGCATTTCTCAATGAGCTACACCAGTACTAGTAATTATATTTTTTTAAATCAGTGAAAATGCTTTAATGAAATGAATGCATTTATAAAGTTATTCTCCGTATTTTAAAAATTTTGACAATATGGAAAAGAGTGATTTAACATTTGATGGGTCATTTTTTTACTCTTTTAATGGATGAAGAATTAGTAATCTTACTTGTGCTAATTTGTACCTTATGCTATCAAGTACATTTTGCAGTAACTCTGGAAAAATCATTACCTTGTTTCGTGTGTTCATAGTTAACCTTTAAACCAGATAGAAGTTTACTTTGATATTAAGTTGCTTCCTACAGTTTACACCACCATTTTCATCTGTTATAAAGATTATAAATAGAGTTTAATTGATTTTTTCCTTTATCTTCATGACACAAAACTACAAAATATAATTTAAAAAAGTCCCTTTTCCCCTCGAATTGTAACGCTGCTCCTTTGTCTCATGTTTGTAGAGCTACATCCACGGGAGCAGCCAGGCGCAGTTCGTGGCGGAGTCACACATCATCCTGGTGCTGAGTATCCTTTGAATGCCGGCAGGCCAGAAAGCACAAAGCCCTGTGCTATCAAGTTACTATTTTTTTTTCCTGAAAATATACAGTAAGTTTTAAACTTACTATGTGAAATTTTCTAATTTCTATGCTAATTATTTCCTATTATAATTTTTGTTTTTATTCTGAATCATTAACAGGCTATAATTTTTTTTTTTTACTGACTATTGAATTTCAAAGTGTAGCTTTTGCACTCATTGATTATCTCTAGCTAGAGTTTAATTGTGAAATTTTATGGCTTTTCCCATCGGATCTTAATGGGGAGAAAAAAGTGTCCTATAAAATTAAAAGCAAGATGACAACATTATTTTAGTACTGGTTCCCTTAAATGTTATGATCAGTCAGAAGAAGGAGAGGTAGGATAGTTAGAAATCTCTTTTTGGAACATGCCAGACTACTGTTTTGAATCAAATAATACTGTCCAACTTATGGTTCAGAGGTAGAAGGGTCAATAAAAAGGTAGCAGGAGAGCAAGGAGGTAAGTGTCTAATTAAAAACAAACTCTGAACATCATTAGAATGAAGTTACTTTTTAGACAAACAGCCGTATTTTGGAGGAACAGTGATGTTTGTATGAGTCGTGTGAAGCTTTGACCTTGGACATGAAGCTTGAGAAGAGATAAGACTCCATTTTAATTGCAGTCTCTCTCTGAAACTCACTGAACACCACCAACCACCGTTTACCTCTAATAGTTCTCAACACTTTTAGTCCTTTCGCACTTGACCACACATGCTCAGTGCACACGTGGTATTGTACATACCCGTAGTCCATTTGTTGCTTGCCTTCACTTAATTATCCATATCCTTTATGTCTTCAAAATTATGAAGTTATTATGATGAGTATTAGTTTTTGTTCTACTTTGGCTTATAGGTTGGATTTAGAAATACCTATATTTGAGTAAACATCCTCAAATTTTGTGAATATTGTCAATAACTGCAAGGTTTCTGTGTTCCAGCTTAAATATGGTTAAGAGATTAATACTTTCTGCATATCGGATGGGCTTTAGGTGAGAAAATGAAGTATTTGTAAATATATAAGAACAACTCCATGTTAAAAAATATAGCAAGGTCATATTTATTCTTACTTTATCTTTTAATTATAAAAATGTACTTATGAAACAAAATACATTTGTGTTAAAGTACTGTAGTAAGAAACAAAGTATTTATTGCAGGTAACGTTTTAGCTCTTATTTATATATACATATATATATATATTTTTGCCTTTTTCTGTCCTATATCAATCCATGATGTAGCATTTTAACAGCATGTCTTATTCAAAGCAGCTAGTCTATTAAACACATCAGAAATACCTAGCAAAAGGAACAAAAGCTCCACTGTATGGCAGGAATTCTCCAAGGTTTCATTTCATGGCTCATTGACAGGAAGCTGAGATTTAGGAAGCAAAGAAGTTTCATAAACTGTATGAAATTTTCCATATAGAGTTTTAACGGTAATGCAGGAAATAATTAGAAGTCCCTATTCTCTGTTACCAGAAATTATTTTTTGCTTTATTTCTTATTTTCTTATAGTTATGAAAAAAAAAGTATTTCTAAAATGGTAGACCTACTAAATTTATCAGTAAAAGTTAAAAAGGAGTCATTATATAATAATTTCTGATTTTACTTTTCTTTGGCAGAGTCTGCTATGTTTTTAAACTCACTGTATTTTTTTTCTTTTGCAATTTATGTGTTTATATATTTTCCCTTATGCAAAAAAAAGCAAATTCTAGATGATTTTTTTTCTTTAGAGACCATTTCTGCCTTTTGTTTTGTTTTGTTTTTTTCTCCTAATTTAGTGAGCCAAATGATTAGAAGCAATTGCTATATACAAAATTTTGTTGGAAAAAACCTAAGGAAGAACAGATGGAGTTGTTTAATGTCATAAGTTATATCATTATATTTACTAAGAATAAGATTTCTCTCCCTATTAGCTGTGTTTTATTTTCTCAGTATCTTATTTGGGATGGAGAACAATCCTAATTGGTCTGTGAGAGAAAACCACCACATTTGCCATGTATATGTGTGCTTTTTTACCCAAATTTTTGAGGGAAAAATAAGGATGCACATTATGCATGAGTAGTACCTGAAATACCTTGTATCTGTTCTTGTGTTTTGTAATTATTTGCTACATAAGATTTCTTGTATCATAATATGTTCAAAAATAAATGCTAAAATCGTTTACAATACAAAAAACAGTACCTAAATATAAATAAAGACTGAATTAAATTAAAATGAAAGGTTTTTTCCCCTGAAAGTTTGGGCCAAAAATAGGGATGAGCTTATAAACAGCAGAATATGATATATTTAAAAAAGGATAAGAAACATTATGACATTTTGACATAGAATTATGTGCACTAAGAAGAACTTATGTAATCCTTTATTTTCTCCCAATAAAATGCTATTTTTCATTCAGTTATGCTTCACTACCTATGAAAATAAGATATTTGCTATTTGCGAGAAGGTAGACTGATGGAAACATAATTGTAGTGCAGTGTGGCAAATGCCAGCACTAGTGCTTGGAAGTAGTAAGGAAGGGAAGCACACCTGGAAGTCTGGGTAGGTGAACCAACTTTTATGCTGCATTTTGTTTGATATAGTAGCAAAAGAAGTCTCCCTGTCAGAGAGTAAGAGAGAATATTCTAGTAGGAGGTACAACAGGTACAAAACCATAAGATGAGGGAGTCACAAGTTATGAAGAGGAGATTGATGAGAAGTTACCTTGGCTGGATAATGGAAATCTACCTATACCTTGCTGAACCTTTTCTGAATCCACCAAGATAGGGTCTATATGTGCTAGTGGATACAGGACACATAAGTTACTAGATTGGCTTTACCACAAACTGTACAGACTCTGACCTGTCCCATACCTCCCCACATCCTTGAAGTTCTGGAACCTAAAGAAGATGACAAAGATAGTATCCATTGGAAGTAAAAGGCAAAGGTTATACTAGCAATACTTTTAAGATATTTTAACATATATTCTTATAAAGATCACATTTCCTTTTCACTTGAGAAAACATTTGTTTTCCATTTATTATGAAAGAGCGTTTTATTCTGCATTTGTTTTCAATCTGTGATAGAGAAAAATGTGTCTTTTAATGTGTATTATCCAAGGAAAAACATAGAAAAAAATTACTAATAGATGCAAGTTGAAGATAATTTTAGATTTAGATCCTTTAAGTCTTGTATAATGTGCTACTATATTTTTCAACATATGTTCTCATTTATCTTTAAATTGACAATTGTGATTCTCTTCCTAGGAGCAACAGTGAACTTAACATCATGTGCAATTGAGAATGAATTATAATGTAATGCAAATGGATTTGTTATTAATTCAGTGGGATGCCCAGTGCCTCTGGGTATTGTATATAATTTACACAAATAGCAGCTTCTCTCATGTGTGGGATCATGTCAGTATTTTGACTTTTTAAGCAATAAGATGATGGAGGGATCAGCAGAGAAACTGTGGAGTCTGCACAGTAGTTGAAATATATGTTGCTATGATGTTAATCCAAATGTGAGAAATTATACACAGAGTAGACCAGGGCAGGGGGGAGTGGGGGGGGGTGTGTGTGTGTGTGTGTGTGTGTGTGTGTGTGTGTGTAGGCATTAACTATCCTAGAAAAATAGAACAAGTCTCAGAAAAATTACAGCCTATTCACTATATAGTTACATCTCTTACACTCTTTTCATGTTGGCACTCTCTACACTGTGGAAAGAGCATATCGAGCAGAGGAATATCAAGTGCAAGATTTCAAGGCAGAGGGGCCCGTCTTGTTGGAAGATAGCAGGGATGAGAGTAAGAGGAAACAGGGTCTAGAAGTACGGGCAGTGGGTCTGGAGGCAAATCATGCATTGCCTTGAGGCCATTTTAAGGTCTTTAGTTTTTACTGTGAGTGAGATGGAAAGCTAGTGTTCTGAGTAGGAGATGACATAACTTCAGCGACATTAGAAGACAGGGTTCTTAAGACTTAGGGGTATGAATTAATGTCATAAGTTAGAAACAATAACCAAAATGCATAAATGAAAAGACTTAATAGTTCTGCTACATTAACATGAAAAGATAACAGGGTGACCTCATTATCATGGCAGTGTGAGTCATTCCTTTTTTCTCACCCCTTTGATTTACAACCAGCCGTACATCCCTAACCAAACAAAAGTACATCTGTGCAGTACAATGGGACCTCCAGGAAGTCCAGGCACCTGTGCATCAGAAAGTAGGTGCATAGGACCTCAGCTTGCATCCCAAACATGGGGAAGGAGCTAGATGTGCAAGTCTACAAAGCTAAAAGAAATCCCTTATTAATCCAATGCATAAAGACCTCCAAGACACAGCATAATGAAACTGTCAAAAATCAATGATAAAAACAAAAAAATCTTAGCAGCCAGGGAAAATAAAGTAACCTACAAAGAAATGCCCATTTGACAACCAATGGATTTCTCAGCAGAAACTCTACAGGTTAGGAGAGAATGAAATGACATATTCAAAGTATTGTAAGATAAAAATTGTTATCTGAGAATACTTTATCCAGCAAAGTTATGCTTTAGATGTGGAGAAATAAAGCCTCTCCCAGATAGAAGCTGAAAGAATTCACCACCGCTAGACCTGCCTTACAAGAAATGCTGAAGAGTCCTTCAAGCTGAAATGAACAAATGCTCATTAGTGAAAAGCACACACACAAAATGAAAATACACAAAACTCTAGTATATTTGATGACTAGAATTAGAAAACTATGTGTAAATAGTATATTAACCACTTACAGTATAAAGGCTAAAAGGTAAAGAGCATTAAAATAATAAAAGCTGCAATTTGTTAAGGAATTCACAGAATAAAAAAGTTATTTTGTGATATCAAAAATATGAAAGGGGAGGAGTAAAAGGGTATAATCTTTATAAAAGAATGAAGATAAGAGAGTCTTTTTCTACTGACAGCATCTCCATCTATGAGATGATGTGTGTAAGCCTCACAAAAATCAAGCAAAAACAGACAGGAAATATATAAAAAAAGGAAGACTCAACAAGACACCATGGAAAACCACAAATTTACAAAAGTAAATAGAAACAGAGGGAAAAGAAACACTGGAGATACACAACAATCATAGGGGGAAGATAATACGTCAGTAATAAGTCCTTACATAACAATTATCACACTAAGTGTAAATGGATTAACTTACCAATCAAAAGGCGCAGAGTGACCAGATAGATAAAAAAAATAGGATCCAACTAAATGCTGCAAGAGACTCATTTCACCTCTAACGATACACATGGGCTCAAAATGAGAGAATATTCCGAGCAGGTAGAAACCAAAAGAAAGCCGGGTTATTATACTTAGATCAGATAAAAATAGACTTCAAGCCAAAAACAGTTAACAAGAGACAAAGAAAATCACTATAATGATAAAGGGTTCAATACAGCAAGAAGATAAACCAATCACAATATGCACACCCAACATTGGCATATTGAATATATTAAGCAAATACTAACTGACCTACTGGGAGAAAGAGGCACTATTATTATAAGTAGGGACTTCACGACCCTACCCACCATCAGCAGTGGATAGGTCCTTCAGACAGAAAATCAACAAGAAAATGTTGGTATTGAACCATCCTTTAGAAAAATTTAGCAAATTTAAGATGATCGAAATTAGATCAGCTGTCTTTTTTAACCTCACCCAATGACGTGCTTATTGATTTTGAGAGAAAGTGAAAGGGAGCGGGGAGAGAAAGCGAAGGAAACATTGATTGGTTGCCTCTCGTATACTCCCCAGCCAGAACCAACTGCTCAACCTAAGTATGTGTGGTGAACAGAAATCGAACCTGTGACCCTTCCGTTTAAGGGATGATGCTCCAACCAACTGAGCCACACTGGTCAGAGCCTAAGAGCTAGTTCTTTAAAAAAAAGATAAACAAAATTGACAAACATTCAGCTAGACTAACAAACCAAAAAAAAAAAAAAAGACTTAACTGATATTACAGAAATGCATAGGATAAGACACTTCTATTAATACTTATATGCCAACAAATGATATAACCTAGAAGAAATTGATACATTGCTGGAAATGCACACCTACCAAAACTGAATCAGGAAGAAAAAAAAAATCTAAATAGACCAATAATGAGTAAAGATACTCAATCTGTAACCAAAAACCTTCCAAACACAGGAAATCCCAGGACCAGATGGCTTCACCGGAGAATTTACTAAAACTTTAAAGAATTAAAACCGGTCCTTCTCAAATTCTTCCAAAATCCTGAGGAGTAAGGAACACTTCCAAACTCATTCTGCAAGGCCAGCATTACCCTGCTACCAAAATTATATAGGGCCATCACAAGAAAATTATAGACCAATATCACTGATGTATATAGGTGCAAAAATTCTCAAGAAAAGATTAGCAAACCAAATTTAAGAACACATAAAAAGGATCATACATCATGACCAGGTAAGATTTGTCCCTAGGATGCAAGCATGGTTCAACACATGGAAATCAATAAATGTAATATATAACATTAATAAAATGAAAGAAAAAACATGGTTATATTAGTAGGTGCAGAAAAAAGGAACAAAAATACATCCTTTCATGATAAAAACCCTCATTAGACTGGCTATAGTCAGAACATATTTAACATAGTAAGGTCCATAAGGTCCATATATGAGAAACCCAGAGCTAACAGTGTAGAAAAATTGAAAGAGAAAAACTGAAATCTTTTCCTCTAAGATCAGGAACAAAGACAAGGATGCCCGTTCTCACCACTCTCATTTAGTATAATACTGGAAGTCCTAGATAGAACAATTAGGTAAGACAAAGAAATAAAAAAGCATCCAAATTGGAAAGAAAGAAGTAAATTTGTTACAATTTTCCATTGATATCCTATATGCAGAAAATCTCAAAGATTCAACCAAAAAACTTGGAACCAATCAATGATTTCAGCAAAGTTGCAGGATGTGTACTGAGTTGCCTTTCTATACACTACTGATAAAACAGCTGAGGAAAAGAAAATTGCCTCATCCACAATGGGATCAAAAGCAATATAAAGGTTAGTAATAAATTTAACCAAGAAAGTGAAAGGTCCATATGAAATTGAAGGCAACACAAATGGAGAAACATTCCTTGTTCATAGATTGAAGGAATTAATATTGTTAAAATGCTATCCGTCCAAAAGCCATCTACAGAATCAGTGCAAGTACCATCAAAATACACGAAATGCATTCTTTACAGAAAGAAAAGAAGAAATTCCAAAGTCCCATACAGAGCTGCAAAAGACCCCAAGTATTGACACAGCAATCCTAGAGAAAGACAACAAAGTCAGAGGTATCCCATTGTCAGATTTCAAACTATACTATAAAGCATAAAAACAGTATGAAGAGAATAAATTATTTTTACCTCTGTGTGCATTTTAAGTCAACTCTTCTGGAACAGAATACACTGTGTTCAGATCCAGGAAACTTAAGAGATTTTATGTGCATGTATTTCTACTATTTCCTTGACAATGGCCATAGATGCTGCTATCACCATGGGGATGGTTCTTCTAAATGAAGCGGCCACGTCCAAAGGAGATGTTGGAAAAAGACGGAGTAAGTCTCTGGGTTGACGTTTTTGTAATTTTGTTTCTGACTTAAAATTCATTTAAATCAAATGGGAAATATAAAAGTCCTTTGTAAACATAAACTTCTAAAGAAATGTTCTGGTTTGAGGAAGATCACCGTGTTTCTTTACTTTCTTCTATTTCTTAGATGTGTGCAAATAATTAAAAATATATTTCTTTCAGAATGGGATTGGGTGATTTTCTGTGGAATGGCATAGAAAGGAGAGCCGCTCTGCGCCCCGCCCGGGGTGCTGGGGCCCACCTCTCCTGAAGCTGTCTCTGCAGTAACAGCTACCCTACGGGGTGAAGGGGAATTCTGAGGGGGGAGTCCTGGGGAGTTTGTTGTCAAATGATAGGTCCTCTATGCTGCAAGAATCAGGTATGGATTCAAAGACTGGACTGAGGGGAACTTTTTCATACATTTGTACACTGAAATACAGTCATAGCTTGGTACTCGTTGGCTTCAGAACTCATCAAACCCTGTACTTGTTGCATTTTCATGAGAAAAAGAGCCTCAGCACTCCGCGCTTGCTGGGGACCCACTGCCCTTGCTAGAACTCGTGTGAGTCCCACACCGCCCTGCGAGAGAAAATGCTTCATGGCTTGGTGCTTGAGGGTTTCACCACATTTCACGAGTGCCTCGGTAATTCATTCCGAGGAGTGGCAGGCAAGTGACGATTGTTGAAGCATTTCATCTTGCAGGGTGGCGTCATATCTCGTACAAGTTCCAACAAGTAAGTACCACAAGTGGCAAGCAAGCACGGATTGATGAAGCATTTTTCCTCATCAAAATCTGATGAGTACTTAGGTGTGACTGTACTTTCCAGTTACCTCCAAACCTCTTTTTATTCACATCTTAAAAGGAAGCATTTCTTGATGCTACCTTTTTCCGGGGTCTTTGCCTTTTGCAGTGGTAGTCCAAGACTGACAATTCCACCATGTTCCAACATTATGTTTCTGAGCAGGTTAACTGTTTTATCCCTTGATGAAATTCTTCCTCTTAAGGAGTTTTGGGGTAGGGGGGACCAACAACTTTTTTTTTGGAAAGTAACCAATTTTGGTAGGAAAGAGGAGAAACACATGGGAAAAATATTCCATGAAGAGACAGGTTAGGAAAGTACAGAGGGCCTTAAATGCTATAGTTAAATGAGAAGAATTTAGAAAATAATAAATACATTATATTTTGGATTATCTGATTTGTATCTGTGTGTGCCATGAACTATTAACTGTAAGTAATACTGTAATCACTTTAATGCATTTTAAAAATACAGACATTTGGGTTGCATGTGTCTAGATACTAACAGCATTTTCTGTCTCGTCCTAGTAATTTGCCTAGTGGGATTAGGCCTGGTGGTCTTCTTCTTCAGTTTCCTACTTTCAATATTTCGCTCCAAGTACCACGGCTATCCATATAGGTAATATCATTATACTAACATGACTATTTTCATTTTTAACTAATAGAATGAACAGACGGTAATCTGTATTTAAGGATTGATGTGATGTCACTAATTCATTTGCCCAGAGATTGTAATATCAGTTAAGCCAGTTTAGAGCACCTGCAGTGTTCAGCATGGATTATACAAAGGAGATGCAAGACATGGTCCCCGTTCCCAGGCAGAGGATAGTTTTACCTTAGAGGCTATAGAGACAGTGTGCGATCAGCCCGCACTGCGCATCCCAGATGAGGGTGTCCCTGGGGTTTTCTCATGCTGAGCTTTAGCCTTGAAAACTGAAGTAAAGGACCAGAGATTTAGAGATGGTTTTTAGCAGAGCTGGAGTTCTCTGAAGGCACCATTGTCTCTCCCCTGACTTCGTCTAGATAAAGGATACACTGCTAAGTCTTGTAATAATAATGTGCACGTGGAAATTGAATCTTAAGGACCATTTTTCCATATTGTTGCATTTCATTACGGTGTTTGGAAAGTGATCTGGACTTTGAGTGAGAAGATGTGACTTGGACCGTGGCCCTTTAAAACTGTAACCTCAGGCAAGTCTTTTAATCTACTCTGAGCCTCAGTTTTCCTCGTCTTTCAAATGACTGTATTTACCTCATAAGTACAAGCTTATAGCCAGTGAGTTTTACAAGTGCAAAGCAGCTTTTAACTGTGAGATCGCATATTCCAGTCTTACTCAGTTAGTACTTAGGTGTGGCAGGTAGAATTCCGCAGATAAAAATTCCAGCTACAGACATAGATGCATGGAGTAACCATATGACAAATAAAGTATTTTTTTAAACAGTAACATTTGTATACATGTACATGCCCTTCACTCCAAACAAAACAATTCCTTTTGGTTACTTCTGCATTTTACTACTTTAGGGAAGAAAGCAGCACTAGAACTATTGCTAGGAATATATTTAATTCTGCCTAGGAAAGCTGTAGTCAAATTCCTTTTCCCATAACAAACAAAGTAAACTTCAACATCCAGAATAATAAAACAAAATACAAGTGTTCTAAATGTGTACTATTTTTTAAATAAGCATTTGATAATTTCAGAAATCTATAAATCCAAAGTAATTTTTATAGAAAATTCAGAACCCAGGGTTTTATTTGATTTTTGCACTGCACGTTTCAAGCCCTCAAACTTCAAAACACATAGTCGGAGCAGGCACATATGTCAAAGCGAGCTCTGAATGGTCATTTCTGTCGTGGAGATACGCCTGCCTTACTCTGGCAGAGTGTCCACCACTTAGCAACCCACAGAAGGCAGGGCAGCTCTAAGAGTTCTTGACCTTCACCTCTTTCTCAGCCTTACCCCACACATACCAGCTGTGTTGTTCTTTCTCCCCCAGACGTGGCATCCCGTTTCTGACCATGCCTACTTATTCATAATCATGTTATCAAAACTTGTCCTAAGCGTTCCTCTCTGTGTAGACGGTGTACGGAAGCAGCCCTGGCAGCTGGCAGACTTGACATCAGTTACCCTATGTAACTGTAGGTGATAAAAAGGGTTGCATTGCTAAAGAGCTCTCCCTACTTCTAATAAAGTCCTGAATTTCTTTGGGCTTTATTTTTTTATGATCATTTTCTTTCAACTTGAAGACTTCTCTGGGTTCAGTAACCTTCTATTACAAAGAAGAGAGCCCAGAGCTTTTGGCTAAAGAGGTCTGGCTAACAGCCTTGCATCCCCTTAGACCACTTATGAACATGGAGTAAAGGTTAACAAATCCCGAGAACAGGGAACCATTGAGTCCCACTGACTACAAGGCAGTGAGGCGGCAGTGAGAATTCAGCTAGCAGCTTATCTGTGCTGTGAGAAAGGAAGCCAAGCTTTTCCTCCCTCCCTTCTGCACTTTTTTTGGATGCCAAAATAAAATCCAGGCTGCTGCCCCTGAATTGCATAAATGATTTCTGCGTGACAGAGCGCCCTTACGTCTCCACCACAAGAAGTTAAAACCGTACACAGAAGAATTGTATGCAGCTGAAAATGTCAGTCAAGAACTTAACCAGTGCCCAGTCAGACAGTATTCAGTCACCCAAGAGCACTGCGCTCGTGCTGGTGTGGAGCACGGCAGGAACAGAAAGAATAAGTAATTGTAGATGAGTAAAAACAAAAATAAAACACAGACCGCTCTTCAGTACCTTTTCAGGTATTTCACGGAAAGAGAAAAGGAAAAACGTGCTTTTCCCTGTAACGCGAGTCTCCAGCGACCACTCCGTAAGCACATGCAGAGGGCTCCTCATTCTGCTCCCCACCCAACCTTTGCAGCATTGGAGTGGACCCGTGCCTCCAACGTGACAACCGGGGATCTTGTAGCACCACACTCTCCTGCCTTCCTTTTTCCTTTCCAATTACTTCTCAGTCCAGTACGCCTGGCAGATTCTGACCTTGTACCACATCCAAAACCAACCTCACCTCTGCTTCCACACATGTTTTTCCTTTTCTCCCCATTTTCCCTAAGACACATTATTCTCAGAAGATAGAAACCTTGGAGCCACGGTGGCCTCATCCCTTTCTGTCCTCACTGCTGCTGTCGTAACCGATGTGCCCAATATCTCATTCCTGCCAGCACCTCACCTCCTGACCCAGCTCCCTAGCTGCAGCCAGTGTCTCCCGTGAGCCAGCCCTCATTCCGGAGTCATGCACGGCTATTTTAACATACGCACATTGTGTTGCTTCTTCATCACTGTCTATTGATGGCTAACAATAAAGAAGAGGGAAAAGTTAACACACGTTCCTTCTAGAAGATACAGATCAACAAGATGAAGAAAATAAAATTTTCGTAATCCAAATACCCAGATTATCAATGTCGGCATGTAGGCTTGTATTTATTTTGAACCTAGGAAAGGATTATACCATACGTATTTTATAAGCTCTTTTTTCTTTCACATAACATGAGCATATTCTACAATATGATTTTACTAGCTATGTAATAATAACCTTTGTATAAGTCCCTTTAATTTTATTTATTTTTTTAAAACTTTGGTTCCATCTGTCTCTTGTTTCTTACGGTGCAGCCTCAAATGTGCTCTCTGGCTTCGTGCAGGGTCCACAGCAACTGCAGAGGCCAGTCCAGACCACTGCCCACTTGAGTACCACAAAAACAGAGTAGTTTTGACCATTTTAAGTCATTGAAAAAAAATATTTTGTGACATGTGAAGTTTACGTAAAATTCAGGGTCCGCGAGCTAAGTTTTATTGGTGCTCAGGCAGATTCACTTGTGTATTGTCTGTAGCTACTTTTGCACGAAAACAGCTAACTGGTTTTGACAGGCTATGGCTCACAAAGTTTAAAATTGTTACTCCCTGGCCTCTTGAAGCCGACTGCTGGTTTGGCCACGTGAGCCCCCTTGTAAATTCTCATACCTTGGCACCTTCCTTCAGTCAGCCCCTTTGGCCTGGGCTGCTTTCTGTGCATTTTATTTTTCCTCAGTGTCAGAGTTGTGCTTTGCTTATGTTTTGGACTCCTGGAACACGTGGACTTGCCACCATATCAAGTATGTCACTACTGTGTTCTTCTGAATTGTGTCCATGCCCTTCCCTCCTCTGGAAAAGAGGCGCAAGGGCCACGGTGTTCAGCCATTCCAGTTTGTGCAGCGCCCTTCTCCGCACAGTGCTCTTCTGCAAATATATGGCCAATACGTTTTTGTGGAACACTGCTTGAAACTAACTATTTTGGGCCTGAATTTGAGAAAAGAACTATCATTTTACATAATGTTCTCTAGAAAAACTTATTTTCAATTTCAAATAATAACCTTGCTAATGAACTTTCAGAATACTGCTCCTCAGCAAGTCAAGGGCTACACTTTCATCTAAGCCCTGAATGTGTGCTCTTGCGGGGAGAAACTAGGAGAGAGCCGGACTTAAAAAGAGGAGCATTTTGAGATCCTCATTCCATTCCTTCCTTGTATACATAGTGCCTCTCCGCATCAATAATTAAGCTATGCAAACTAGAAGGGAATAGTTGGATCCCTTTTAGGCCTGGAGAAGGGGGAGCTTCTGGGCATATTTGGCTGGTTTGGACTGCTGTCTAATCTCCCTGTGGACAATTCACTACCCTTGCCAAGTGGCTTCCATCTTACATTGCTACCCGAATTAAACCTGACCACGCACGTGTTCCCCCCAGAATATACCAGCCATCAGTCAGTGCTGTGCAAGTGTACTCTGTCCCGGACTGCGACGAGATCGTGACAGAGGGTGGGGAGGAGTCCACACAGAAGTGGACAGTGGCACCCAGCGTAGTGCCTCTCTCTGGTGAGACAGACGGCGACACTGAAGGGCACATTCCAAATAAGAGGGATGCAGTCAGTTTTTAGTATTCTTAACAGTTTTTGAGTATGACAAAAAAAGCATTGTATTATGTTTTTATGGTAAGCATTATTAAGAAAGATAGTACCTAAACACTGTTAGAAGCATAAATCTATGAGAACTGTTAGATTATACATTAAAATTATTAGACAAGTAAATGGGAAAGTTGAAAAAAAATATGTCAGAACCTGATAGACAGAAACAAGAGACTGTTCTCTTGAGTGATAGAGTCAACATAAAACATTCATAATGGAACACACATTGGACATATAATATTTATGTAATGGAAATAAAAGTCAAACATGAACTACTGAATCATTACCTAGAGAATAATAGTTCATACTTTTCCAAAAAAACATTTTAACTAACAAAACATTTTTGACACTTGTGATTCAAGCCTTCCCAATATCTTGAACAAACACTTGTCAAGAAGTTTTTATACTTCTTTTTATCAAAAAAAAATTTAAATAGAATAAGAAACACTGTTAGATTTATCCTTTTATTATAGGACAATTAATACAAGGGTGAGTCTAAGACTAAGTACGTATTTGTCATTTCATAATAAAATACAAATGGGATTCTCTAACAGCTTTAAAAAAATTATTTCAGTTTAGAAAGACCCTTTGGATGAACAAAGGGCATGCCAGCTAAACAGTTCAGGCTATTTTAATATTAAGAAAATACGATGTTAAGAAAAGGTGTTCTGAATGTAGCAACACCTAAAAACCACAGAACCTTTTAACCTTCCTAGCACCCCACAAAGTTAGGAAGATCACAGAGGGTCATATAACTATTTTTGCTTTTGTCTTGGTAATATTTTTAGCAATGATGAAAGGTGGTCTTTATTGCTCCATAGCTTGAAACGTTCAGACCTGGCCTTTAAAACAAAAATAAAATAAAATAAAAAACTACAAATCCTCAGTTTAAGTTATAGTTTTCCCAATTTTAATTACAGTTGAAAATATTTTATGATCAAATTTTCTTTTCATTACCCCTTATTCTTCAGTTAGCTTTATCTTCAGAGCCAGCTGGTTACTGAAGACAGAAAATGCCAAAAAGTTCATTTGCACATCACAGATCTAGCTGCCTTGCTGTCAGTGTTGTTAAGGATTTGGGAATTGAACAGCAACTGGCGCTCAATGCTCTCGTGAAGCTCACTGCCAACCCCTCTCCTGGAGATCAATTCCCCTGCAGTCCTTCCGTCGGCACTTGTCTTGAAGCGATGTCTTGTTGCTTCTAAATCTCAGCACATGATTTCTCTCTTTTAATAATTTCTCAGACACAGATAAACAATGACTTTCATTTGCATTGCAGACTTTATATTTTATATATTTATATTTTATATGTTTAAAATATATAACACATTTATATCATGTTTTATAATAAAATATTTTAGAATATATATTTCCTTTTAGCATATAGTCTCACCAAGATGATAAACGTTAGCACTGGAACTTGAGAGAATCATCCAAAACAATCATTCTTTTCACTAATGAGGAAACCGAGGTTCAGAAAAACAAAGCATTTATGCCTAGGATGTTGTAACTTAAACACCTGAGTATTAAATTTACTAACTGCATAGCTTTTCAACTATATTAACCATTAATTTTTGTTTTAATATTCAGTTGCAAATTGGTTTGTCTCTTGATTGTCCTACAAAGTCAAGTTGTCAAGACTTAAAAAGTTGCCATATGGTAGTGGAAAGGTACAAATAGCAAACAAAAACTATTTTACAAACTTAAATGCATTTCTCTTCTACATTAAAGTTTTGCTTGGGGAAGTTCAAAAAGAAAAATAATCGTTATCTTTTATTTCTGTATGTACAAGCATTTATTTGTGTTGTTTCATCAGAATCTGATGATACTTTTATTACGATTTTTGTATACATACTGTGTTTAGTCAATATAATGAAATTGTAAATTTAATAAAAATGACCAAGTGTTTATATTAATAAATGAATTACAAATTAAATGATGAGAGAAAATATTTCCATTAGAACATAGCAATTACCTGCTTGATATATTTATTTTAATGCATTCCCTTTATTTCCCTACATTGCCAGTTTAAATGCTGATTTAACTCTTGGTCTAGCCAGCAAGGAGAGTGGCTCACAAGAATGGGGTGTTTTACCCAAACTCAGCTACCATAAGTTCAAGGTCTTACGGCATCTTTGCCCACCTCGACCTGTACTCAACACTCCCATTATAGGGACTAGTTCAGAGAAATTACCTTGACATAAATATTAGAGAATTAATAACAATTATGACATCTTTGTTATATTTATACATGCTAATTTAGAACTGACTAAACAACATACTGTTTTTTCTTCCGCATATATAATTTTCTTTCTTTTTCAGCTTTTTAATTAAATGAAGCCAAGTGGGAGTTCCATAAAGTGAAGGTTTACCATGAAGATAAAGTGTTCATGACACACTATGAATTCTTCGGTTCATTCCCATGTCGATTGTGATATTCTAGCTTATTGTTGTATAATTTTTTAAATGTGAGATTTCCTAGTCAATTTAATTTATAGAAATGGATGTTTTAAATGTAATATCAGCACTGGAAAGAACAAAGGAAACATTGATGCATTTTTCAAGCATATCATATTCAGTGTGTGCTATAGGATTGAAATAAATGACAATATCAATTCATGCTTTAGAATTGTTCATTTATAAGTAAAGAAAACCACAATGTCAGTAAGGAAAAACTAAGAAATGTATGTTAATAAATTCCTAGGGCTGTACAGAGATAATGTATATGCATGAAAATATGTCATGTTCTCAGAAATTGTATTCATTGCGGTGTCAGTGTAAAGGCCATGTGTGTTCGCAGTTAGTGTTTCGGTCTTACAAATCATAACTAGATAAAGGTGTATAGGACAGGGAGCTGGCTGAATAGTACCTGCAGCTTGGATACCTAACCAGGGAAAGGGAGATTTTTTTCCAGTTTATAAATCTACAGCAAACATGACTAAATCAATGTGCCTCAAAGGCATCAGGCAATGAAAATGGTACCCCAGAACAAGGAATTAATTCCTCTCCAGCTTTGGAAGTGCCACCCAAGAATCCAGACTTAACAACCTACCAACCACAAAACTAGCTCACCACGGCCATTTTTCCTGGCATTCTATGGAAGAAGCTTGCCGTTCCTAATTCGAATGAGTGACGCAGTGAAGCTTTCTTGAACACCAAATACAGGAGTCTAACCATTATTATGTTTGCATATCCTGTTTCTGTTTATAAAGCACTTTGGCATATGTTATGGTATTTTTTTCTTCACAACAATCCTGTAAATTAGACAGGAAATGTAAATTTTGTCTGACAAATAAGCACTATAAGCTAAAAACCAAAAAGAATTAAACAGTAGAGCTTGTAGCTAGGCTTTTAAACTCTCAAACCTGAATTTTTATTTCTGTGGTGCTACCCGAAGAAGGCTTGAGAAACAGTCAGTTCAGTAAGCTTTTTGTTTCTCCTCTTATAGCTTTGTTACCTAACTTTCATTAGGAACCAAATAATAGACCATGAACAACTTTGTTAGCTATATTCTCAAACAGAAACCAGTGTACATCCACTGAATTTATTTATTTTGTACCCTGTGAAATTCAATAAAGAATGGAAAACATAAAAGCCTACCGGGCAGAGTACGTTAAATCCCCGGGAAATACATGTGCTGGCAGGAGGAAACCCACCTTCCAAAATGTGACAATACTCAATAGTGAAGGTACTTAAAATTCAGAACTACATTAAACCTCTGTATCCCCAAATCTAGTATTAAAAATCGTTAATTTCCTTAGCTCCTGTTCAAAAATTAGTATTTAGTATTGGCATGGTGTTTATGGAAGAGCAATGAGTGATCATAATCATTTGTTTACTGCCTAACCCCTAGGTAGCACTTGACCTGTAAACCTTAATCCATCGAGTATTTTCACGTCCTGAAGTTCATTCAGAACAGACTTTACAATTGGATTTTGAGGCCGAATTTTACAAATAATAAACATTAATTAAAATCACTTGTGTTTGTCCTCTTAAAGCTTAAAATTCTTATCTTCCAGTTAGTGTGCAATTGACTAAATGATACTAACACATTTAATCTCTCTATAAAGCTTAATAGTGTTTAATTATGAACAAAGTCCATTTTCAGTGTGACCCAGGTAAAAAGACCTTCCTTATTGCATATTAGAAGTTTTCTAGCCTAAATTATATAATTTCCTCTGAACATTAAATATCTGCCACTGTAAAAACAATATTTTCAGAATTCTATAGTTTAAGAAGCTACTGATTTTCTATAGGCAATAATAATGTTAGGGAAGTGATTCTAGAGGGAAATAAGCTGCTTCCAGATTAGCCATTATTGGTAAGCTCTATAGGCAAATCTCCAAAAACCAGCATTTGGCTTATATGTAGTTAGCTTTCAGGATGTAATGTGCAAAATCTCATAAATAACATATCATGTCTTTACTTTTGCCAAACAATTTAAATTGAAAAATTAATTTGTATGTGATATGCTATATCTTCCAAAGTCACTTTTTAATCACATTCACTATATTAAAGACTCCTTTAAAAACTGATTATATGTTTACTTTAAAAAAATTACTTTTCTAAGTTGGAGAGAAAAATCCTAATATAAAATTCCATCCAAAGGAGTTTCATTCTATAATAACATCTGATCAATAACATGTTGCATTTTGCTCAGCACACTGTTCCTTGCATTAGGTATTCACATGAGTAAGCCCAATAGTGTTGTATGTTCACTGTAATTTTCTTTTGCACATAAAGTAATATCCCTTGTCAGCAAGCATGGTGATTTGGGGAGATTAGATTTTGTAACCAGAGATTGACAAGGATTCCTTGCTATTACGAGGACCATCCTAAGTTGGGAAGGGAGTGGTTATTCTAAATTAAGGCATGACATACTGTTTTGATATCAGTGACATGAAACATTGTGTTTTATGAAGGAGTCGTGATGGGGTGAACATATTAGCTAGAGCATCCAGGGACAAAACATTTGAATGAATTCTTTAAGACTTAATGTCCCTCAGAGTCCACAGAGCTCATTAAGTTTAAAATACGAAAACAGAATCTTTTTCATCCTCCAGCAAGAAGCTGTACTTGGTCAGACCAATAATACAGCTTCCAGTAGTTTTTTCTATCAGTAGGAAAGGGTTAGCATAGTAGCTAATCACACTCAAAGAATACTAGTATGTCCATATTAGCCCCTAAATTCTCTCATTTTAATTCATGAACATCTAACATAAATTTTGTATATTCCTTTTATTAATCTTTAAATTCCTGAAATATATACAGATGTTTATATGATGTAACTAGAGAGCCTTAAGTATGTACACAGTTTTAACAAAGCATCACACATTCATACTACAAAAGGAAAGTGTCACATTCACCTAAGTGTCAGTGTATATAAACCATGCCCATGGGTCAATGAAAATTGTAGAGTGAGGAACTATGGGGACCCCCCCCCCCCCGTATAAACACTTGAAAAAAGCAAACTAGCCAAAACTGTCAGAATCAGTTTTGTTCTGGAAAATAGTGCAAGTTTTACAGCAACCAAGTGAATCCTTCAGCAATAGAAAGGTAACTGAAACCTGGCAGTATAGCTTGATGGCATTTTATCTAACTTTCCTTCCCCTCCTCCCTGGTCAGTGGCGGTTTGGAAAGCCGGCAGTCTGTTACTGGCGCAGGTGCCCAGTTCTAGAGGGAGCAGAATGCACCTCCTTCCCATGGAATCGTGCTGGTCCTGACCTGTCTGGAGATTCCCAGGACGACTGGTGCAAGGGGCTTGCCTGTATTTCACCTGACTCAGGAGGCTGGGAAAGTGGTTGTGCAGAGCGTGTGTTTCTCTAAAATACCAAACAGTAAATGAGCACGCCAGTGCCTGGGGCGCAAGGTAACAATTGGAACAAACAGGCAACTAAGACCTGGAAGGGAAAGCTGGGGAGTGAAATGCTTTGGTGAACAAGGGCTTTGGAAAGCTCCTATGTAGTCTAAGGAATCTAGAAGGACACACCCATACCCAGGGCAGGATGCAGCTCAGGAAGACCTGAGGAGACCGTAAGCTTTTACTGCCTTGCTGATCTTGACACCCAGCCCAGGCAGGAAGCAAAGACTAAGGCAGCGCTGTAAATGCCATGGATAAGTTTTAAAGAAGTGCCCCACACAGAGCCAATTGGGAGAGCGTTTTCTTTCGTTTTAGTTTTTTCTTTTTGCATCCATGGATTTAAGGAAAGTTCTGTCAAATCACTGGGTGCCCACTAAACTAATGATAACAGAAATTTTATAGATCACACATGACGAATAATAGAGTTTTTACAAGCAGTTGAAGAATCATCAAATGACTGCAACCCAAAACAAGCAACAAAAGCTAACTGGAGAGAGAGCAGAATTCAATTTTCCGAGTTGCCACAATATTCAGAAGGGCCAGTTTAAAGAAACGGGAGCAACATATGAAGAATTCAAAGAAACGAAGTGTCACCCACTCACAGGAAAGAAAGAAATGAACAGAAACCCTTCTCGAGGAGGCACAGACAGTGGACTAGATAGTGTATATTTAATATACTCAGAATTGAAGAAAACTGTAGACAAACAACTAAAGGAAACAGACAATTCTTGCCAATTATAGGATATCAATAAATAGGAATGATAGATAAAGGAGTCACATACAAATTCTGAAGTTGAACAAGATCATAGAAATGAAAATTTCACTAAAGGGACCAAGAGCAGGAGAGGCAAAAGAAGGAGTCAGAGAACTTGAGCTTAGGTCAGTCGAACTGGTATCGTCTGAGGAGACAAAAGGAAACAAGGAAGAATGAACAGAACCTAAGAGACTTGTCACGCACCACAAGCACACAGTACATGGCAGTGGGATTCCCAGAGTGTAGGAGACAGAGAAAACGACAGAATATTTGGAGAAATGATGTCTGAATACTTTGTATTTGAAGAAAGACATGAATCTAATATGCAAGAAGCTCAACAAAAAGTAGCATACAGTGGGAAAGCTCTACACTGAGACAAATCATAATGAAACTTGAAAGAAAAAGACTTAAAAGCAGCTAGAGAGAAGTACTTTGATATGTAAATGGGTCCTCAGTAAGATTAATAACTGACTGTTCATTAGGCAGGAAGGCATTTTTAAAGTACTCAGTAACTGTCAACCAAGAATTCTGTGTCTGGCAAAACTATCCTTCAAATCTGAAGGATAAATTAAGACCCTCCCAAACAAAAGGATAAAGATATAGTTCTAGTAAACCTGCCTACAGTAGATACTGAAAAAGTTATTCAAGCTGAAATGAAAGGACACTAGATAAGAACTCAAAACCACATGAAGAAACGAAGAGGAAATAACGCCAACAGGATGGTGGAACAGGCGTTTCTACGATTGTTCCCCAACAGAAAAAAGGTTCCACAACACTCTTGAAGCTGAAATTCAAAATTGAACACATTGAAGAGGGTAAGAGAAACTGTTTCCCTTTGCCTGTGCCACCTCCCTCACTAGGCAGCAGAGTGCATGGCCAAGAGAAACACCCAAATCCCACATTTTCTCCCGTGGAAGAAGGTGAGAGTAGAGTAATAAGTGAGTGCCCAGTTTCCAAAACTATACAGGACACTGCTAAGGAAGCTCCGTTTTTCTTGCCTCATCCAAAATACGGAAGTGATCTGTGAGGCTGAGGGGTGGGGAGAGGCTGAAAGTGGAGTGGACGTAACTTCGAAATCAAAAGGACGCAGATCTTACTAACCAAGTCACAGACTCCGTGAGCAGGCCTGCTCATCAGCCGCTCAGACATCTCACGAGACTTTCCCAACGGTACCTCATCGAACCACCAGCACACCGCTTGCTGCACCCGTGCAACACCAGCACCCCTCGCTGGCCAGCTGCCTCTTTTTAGAGAGCTGGTGAGCCATGAGCAAAGCTGGCCTGCCTGCAGGATTTGAAGAAAGCACACAAGCATGAGCATTTCAGGGCGCAGCCCCGAGGAAAGCAAATGTAAGGCTCCCAGCACACAGCCTGGCTTTGAAGGATTGAGTGAAGGTAGAAAAATCTTAACATCACCCTCAAGAGGGAACAAAAAGTGTGGAACAGGTGCATCCATAGAAATAGTATTGAGAAAGCCTAAGAATCCCGAACAGGGCTGAGTTAAAGTATTTCTCAAAGCCTCCCAGTAGAGAATAGAGGATATAAATACAGGTTTAAAAGCAAAACAGCAACGTGACTGCAAGGAATGCAAAATAGCAAGGAAACAATGTGAAGGAACACAATTTTCCAGTGAATTTTAAATTGCCTGACAAAGAATCATAATAATTGTATTAAGGACCTTCAAAGAGGTACAGGAGAACACAAATAGTCAACTCAATGAAATCAGGAAAACAGTAAGTGAAAAATGAGAAGTTCAACAGAGAGAGAAATCACAAAAAAAGAACTAAACCTAAATTCTAGAGTGGAAGAATACAATGAATGAATGGGGAAAAAAGGGGGGGGGGGGGAATAGACAACGTCGACAACAGACTAGGTCAAGCA